CCAGAAGCGGTGAATGCTCCAACACTGGAAGTTTTTAAGAAGAGACTGGACAGCCATTTGTCCGAAATGGTATAGGGTTTCCTGCTTGAGCAGGGGGTTGGACTAGATGACCTCCAAGGTCCCTTCCAACTTTATTATTATTATTATTATTATTATTATTATTATTATTATTATTATTATTATTATTATTATTATTATTGTAGTTCACACTATGAAACATAAAAAGCTGTAAAACAAAACTGTTAGGCAAAGCAATAGGAACGTCTGAAGCAGTGCCAGCTTTTATCGTTTTTGTAAAACCAGTAAGAAGGCTGCCAGCTTCACTTGCATAAATACAACTAGTCAGTTTATGGTCACAGTTGGGACAGGAATTTCCATTGTAAAACACTGTGGTTGTTGAGGCTGTTGAGTAACCAATTGAGTTGAGTAACCAGTTATGTAACGGATCATGATTATTAAGCTAGTCACGTGTCATCAGTACAGAATCCAACTTAACCAATGGCTTTTTTTTGTCAGAAAACATAAAAGTGAACTGGTTTCAAAGTGCATGAATTGCAATTATGTGACCGTGGGTATTGGTGCGACTGTTTCCAATGGTCTTAAGTGACTTTTTCAAAGACAGTTCTCATTTTGAACCATCATTAAGTGAAATACGATAATTCTAGGAGAAAAGGCATACATTGAGAATTATTCCTTGTTTTCAAAGAGTTAAGAAGTATTAATACCACTTTACAAGGCCTTGGTAAGGCCACACTTGGAATACAGCATCCAGTTTTGGTCACCACGATGTAAAAAAGATGTTGAGACTCTAGAAAGAGTACAGAGAAGAGCAACAAAGATGATTAGGGGACTGGAGGGTAAAGCATATAAGGAACGGCTGCTGGAATTGGGTATGTCTAGTTTAACGAAGAGGACGACGAGGGGGACATGATAGCAGCGTTCCAGTATCTCTGGGGCTGCCACAAAGAAGAGGGAGTCAAGCTATTCTCCAAGGCGCCTGAAGGCAGGACAAGAAGCAACGGATGGAAACTAATCAAGGAGAGAAGCAACCTAGAACTAAGGAGAAACTTCCTGACAGTGAGAACAATTAACCAGTGGAACGACCTGCCTCCAGAAGCTGTGAATGCTCCAACATTGGAAGTCTTTAAGAAGAGACTGGACAGCCATTTGTCTGAAATGGTATAAGGTTTCCGGCCTGAGCAGGGGGTTGGACTAGATGACCTCCAAGGTCCCTTCCAACTTTATTATTATTGTTGTTGTTGTTAGAACTTTTTTTTCCTGAGCTAAGCTGATTTTTTAAAAAAAGGTAAAGACTGGAGACAATCCTGACTTCATCTTGGCTTTTAGGAATTGCAGAATAACAGAATACAGAATAATGTAGTTGGAAGGGACCTTGGAGGTCTTCTAGTCCAACCTTCTGCTCAAGCAGGAGACCCTATACCACAAGTGGCTGTCCAGTCTCTTCTTAAAGTCTCCAATGAGGGAGAACCCATGGGCTGCATAGACAAGTGGTTTTCTATTGGCCTATGTCCAGGTTTTTTTTAACACTTTGGATTAGAAAAGAGATAAAAGGATAAGATAAAGGAAAGAGATAAAGTGGTCCCTCATTCTGTGACTTACCAGGAGTGGACCTGCTTAGCTGAGAAAGTCAACTGAGGGCTGGAGTTATCAATTAATAGAATCCAATTTATAGTAACCAATCACATAAAATTTTTCAGTGGACAGGAATACAGTTAATGCACATACAATAACTTTAATAATCTTCAGGGAGAACCTGCTGTCCTACATCGCTTAGAATGGAGAGGATGGTGTGTGTAACAACCCCTTGAGAGATCAGGAGACGGTTTTTTCACATAACATGTTGAATCCAGCTGGGGAAAAGTCCAGCTAAGAATTATAACTCTATGTTTTTAGCATTTGCAGATTAAAAGAGATCTTGCACATTCTTCCTGACTCTGCTCATAGAGATTGTTCCTCGTTCAGGGTCCTGTGTCCTTTGAGGAGGTGGACGTTCATTTCACCAATGAAGAATGGTCACAGCTGGATCCCAACCAGAAAGCCCTGTACGAAGAAATCATGTTGGAGACGTCTAGGATTGTAAACTCTTTAGGTAAGGGTTTATCTAGAAGAAAATTAAGTAAGACTGAGGAGTCATTGGGCTGTTTATTTACAGCTTAGGGTATCTGTGCAGAACTTGTTAAAATGGTTTTGTCAACGCTGCTAATATTGAATATTCTTGCTTTGACAAAATATGCAGAACTGTCTGGTACTTTTAGAATTAATTCAGATGAGAAAGAGAGAGGAGAGAAAAGCCCGTGGAAGGGAATGGAAGTGAATCTTTGCCCTCCAGGTTAATTGGAAGATGTGAATCATGACCCCAAAATAGGGGAGGGGAAATGCCTGGAATGTTATGTGCAAAGGAAGGGAAATTCAGATCATGGCATTCTCCATGCCGTGCTGACACTCCTTTTACACTAATAAAGGCTTTTTAGGTTAAACCATGCCTGAAAGTTCTTTGAAGTGTTTCATTAGTTAGATTCATGACAGGTTTCTTGTCTTTTCTCTTTTCATTTTATATTAATTCCAATCCACCTCTGTGGTCTTCTAGGTACCATAGTGTCAACCTCCAGCTCGAATATCGAAATAAAGTCCAGGATTTCTTCCATTTCTGAAAATCTTAATGGTTTATTGAATACATGACATAGTATAGGTGGAGGAAAACTAACTCTAAAATCCCAAGATATCTAATCAAAGCATATATCAATGACATTCCCAACCAAACCTCCCAGATGTCCACAAAGTTCATGTAAACACATTCTCATTGTTTAGACAACTGTCTGCTATCATCTTCACAGCGGTTAGAATGTCCTTCAAAAGTTTCCCTACATCTTTTCTCAACAAATGTCTGCAGAACTGGAGAGGTTTCGTTTCTGTAACTAACCCATTTGAAGCCTCATCTCCACCCCGCCCCTTACTCTAATGACAACGTGAAAACAATAAGGCAGGTAGCTGCCAGGTTTTCACTTTTGACACATAGTATCATTTAGAAGAAAGGAATTGGTTAGAGATAGTTGGTCTGGAGAGTTGACAAGCAGTCTTGTGATCTTCTATATCAGTGATGGCGAACCTTTTAGAGACTGAGTGCTCAAACCCACTTATGCATCATCGGGTGCCGGGTGGGCGTGGCCCATTGGCTGGGTGTGGCCCATTGGCTGGGTGTGGCTGCGATGGTAACGGCAGACTGGGTGGGACTAAAAAGTTCAATCTATCAATTCCAACATTGCAAGATTTTTTTTTTCCCCACGAGAAGTTGAAATTGACTGATTGGTTGAACCTTTTTTTTTTTTGCACACGGCGGTGGAGGCCTAAAGCAAAAAAGTTTTATAAAACCCAGCTGAAGGCCTAGGACTGGGCGACAGCATGCGTGCCCACAGAGAGGGCTCTGAGTGCCGCCTCTGGCACCCGTGCCATAGGTTCGCCACCACTGTTCTATATCAATACTGCAGAACTATTGGGAATATAATCAGAGAAGGATGATTTTGCTTATTACACTTGTCCTAATTAGCCATATTTTTTTCTTGGAGTGATACTGCAATGATAGGTATGTTGTGGCTTTAGTACATCTGACACAAGGGTGTATGCCACATCATGTCAAGATTTAGGCTGCAGGACACTTCATTAGTTATTATGTTGCCTTATGTTCTGCATTTAAATTGTTGTCAGACACCCAGAATTATATGAGTTGAGCAGCCACGCCAATGTTTTAAATTAAGAAATAGCATTCATGCTGTCATTTCTCCTTTTGTTCTCCCTCCAGATGTCCAGGAATAGTTGTAGGCTAGGGATTGTCATGGGGATTGCAAACTATATGTTGTAGAGTTTCTGATATCTTTTTCTCCTCCCCCAAGCAGTTGATGCACAGAAAAATGAAAATTATCGAGAGCCAAGTGTGGTGCCATCACAAATAATCGAAACTGAAATACGAGAAGAGAAATGTGCAGATAAGTGGGGAAGAAGGAGATATGAGAAAAAAGAATCTTACACTTGGAGAGAAAACCTGACCTCTGAATGTGCGGAAATGGATAACTTCCAGATTCAACATGATTTCAAAGAAAGCAGTATGGGAAAGTGTCGAGGAAATGGGAAGAGATTCAAACCGAAACCCAATTTCAGTAACTGCTGCAAAACTGGAAAAAACTTCAACTATAACACTAAAATTATCCCACATAAAATAATCCATGCAAAGGAGAAGCCCTACAAATGTTTGGACTGTGGAAAAAACTTTAGGTGGAGAGGTAATCTTAACTATCATAAAAAGATCCATTTGGGGGAAAAGCTCTTCAAATGCGCAGAATGTGGAAGAAGTTTCAATATGAACAGTTCCTTGACTTATCATAAAAGGATCCATATGGGAGAGAAACCCTATAAATGCATGGACTGTGGTAAAAGCTTCACTATGAACAGTGCCTTTACTTTTCATAAAAGAATCCATATGGGAGAGAAACCTTACAAATGCCTGGAATGTGGAAAAAACTTCAGCACCAAAAGTTATCTGACCTCCCATAAAAGGATCCACACAGGGGAAAAACCATATAAATGCATAGACTGTGGAAAAAGCTTCAGTATGAAAAGTTCCTTTACTTACCATAAAAGGATCCACATGGGAGAGAAACCGTATAAATGCCTGGAATGTGGGAAAAGCTTCAGTATGAATAGTTCCCTTACATATCACAAAAGGATCCACACAGGAGAGAAACCCTATAAATGTCCGGAGTGTGGAAAGAGCTTCAGCAGCAGCAGTTATCTAACTTCCCATAAAAGGATCCATACAGGGGAAAAACCCTATAAATGCATAGAGTGTGGGAAAAGCTTCAGTTTGAACAGTTCCCTTGCTTCTCATAAAAGAATCCATACAGGAGAGAAACCTTATACATGCACGGAGTGTGGAAAGAGCTTCAGCAGCAGCAGTTCCCTTACTTGCCATAAAAGGATCCATTCAGGGTTGAAACCTTATATATGCAATGAATGTGGGAAGAGTTTTATTTCAAGCAGCTCCCTTACTAAACACATTAGTATCCACTCAGGGGAGAAATTATATCCTTGTACAGAGTGTGGGAAAAGCTTCCGACTGAATAGTCACCTAACTTCCCACAAGAGAATGCATACTGGAGAAAAACCCTATCGATGCACGGACTGTGGAAAAAGCTTCAGTATCAATAGTTCCCTTACTTCTCATAAGAAGATCCATTTAGGGTTGAAACCATACATATGCAAGGAATGTGGGAAGAGTTTTGTTTCTAACAGCTCCCTGACGAATCATGTTTGTATCCACCTAGGTGAGAAACTATATCAGTGTACGGAGTGTGTGAAAAGCTTCAGGTGGAAAAGTCACCTAATTTCTCATAAAAGGATGCATACAGGAGAGAAACCCTATAAATGCATGGACTGTGGAAAAAGCTTCAGTAAGAACAGTTCCCTTACTTCTCATAAAAGGATCCATACGGGAGAAAAACCCTATGAATGCACAGAGTGTGAGAAAAGATTCAGCAAGAGCCGTTATCTTACTTCCCATAAACGAGTCCACACACGGGAGAAGCGATAAATATGCTCTGAATATGGAAAGAGTTTTTGTGAAAAACAGTGATCCTTATGCTGCCTAACAGAAATGGGAAAAAAAATATACATGCATGATATGTGGAAAGAAATTCATGTGGAGCAATCAATTTACTTTCCATAAAAGGACCCACATGGGGAACACGTCTTTTGGGATTGAAGTGTTCTGAATTCCTGTAAAAGGATTGGCTGTAATATCAAACGTATACAGCAGTGGTGGCAAACCTATGGCACGGGTGCCAGAGGCGGCACTCAGAGCCCTCTCTATGGGCACGCGTGCCGTCGCCCCAGTCCTAGGCCTTCAGCTGGGTTTTATAAAACCTTTTCGCTTTAGGCCTCTGCCGCTATGTACAAAAAAAAAAGGTTCAATCAATCAGTCAATTTCAACTTTTTGCAGGAAAAAAAATCTTGCAGAGTTGGAATTGATTGATTGAACTTTTTAGTCCCACCCAGTCTGCTGTTACACCGCAGCCATGCCCACCCAATGGGCCACACCCACCCAATGGGCCACACCCACCCGGCACCCAACGATGCATAAGTGGGTTTTGGGTTACAGTTTGGGCACTCGGTCTCTAAAAGGTTCGCCATCACTGGTATACAGTAAATGCAGAATTTCACTCAAGAATTATGAACTGATGTGTCTTTAAAGGCTCCATACAAGGAAAATAGCATGTAAGCATGTAGTGTGGAAAGAGCTTCAAATGCTTTTCTTTCTGCATGTGGCTTGCAGATAGGTTTTTTTTAAAACAAAAATTCTGATGATACCAGTCCCTGCAGGGTTTTTTTGGCAGGGTTTTTCAAAGTGCTTTGCTATTGCTGCCATCATAGTGCTGAGAGAAAGTGACAGGCCCAAAGTCACTTGGTGTCTAAAGTGGGACTCCCAGTTTCCAGCCTGGTCTCTTAACCACTGCACCAAGCTGGCTTTTTCAAGTGGAATAGAAACTTTATTTTTGGAAAATAAGTTATTGTAGGTACACGTGGGAGAAACATTAGAACGCATAGAATGTGGGAACAGTTTGAGAAGGAAATGTCTACTTGGGAAAGGAATCCACAAATGCAGGGAGAATGGGAAGAAGTTAAGCAAAAACAGGTTCCTTAATTCCCATGAAAGGATCCATATAGAAGAACCACAGATACATGTGTCTGGGAGAAGAATTATCAAGTAGGTGTCTTGAGAACTTCAGTACAAGGAGTTCTTATTTCCCAGAAAAAGTTTCACATAGGAGAGAGAGAATATAGATATAAATACATGGAACACCAAGAGAGTCAGCCTTTTTATTTGTCTTATTTCCTGTAAAAGAATCAACTCTTAAGGGTCCCGTAAGTACAATGATCCCACAGAAAAAAGTGAACAGAGGATTGTCATAGGAGAAACTGAATAAACGTATGAATTATGGAAAGAGCTCCCAAGATAGATTTTTTAAATACCAGAGATATAACCTAGTTAGTTATATTTGGCTCACAAGAATCTTTTATTAAACTGTCCTGCTTATTATTATGCCAGTATTTGTCAAGACCTGTGCCTGGTCAGTTTGCTTTATTTAGGTAGAAGCAACATCTTAAGTTGTTCTGGGATCAGGCTGCAGGCTTTGTGGAGAGCTACATATGTAAGCAAAGCAGGGGAAAATGTATGTTTGTACGTGTATGTGTATTTTAGCTCTAATTGTAAATACCTGCCTTCCTTCAATATATAGCCAAGTATTTAAGCTCTTAGTTCTTTGTTTTTTATGTATCATGATGTACATTAGTTGTGGTTTATCTGTGAAACATTTTTTCCAGGTGTTTATATGTACATGCCCGTTTGGTTGAGTATGTTTCTGGTTGCAAAATCACATTAATCCTGCTGTAAAGAGAAGGGTGGCCAGTGAGTTTATGATTGCAACTATTGCCTCTTTACTTTAAAAATGTCTATGGACATCCAGGTCATGGTTGTCCCAAAATGCTTTTTCAAGAGGCAACTGGGCTTTCTTGTTTTTCTTTGAAGATGTTCCGCTTCTCATCCAAGGAGCTCAGAGTAGATGAAGCTTCTTGGATGAAAAGTGAAATATCTTCAAAGAAAAACCAGAAAGTCCAGTTGCCTCTTGAAAAAACACCTTTGGGATTACTTTAAAAATGTTTTTATGAATCCAACAGTGTACTCATATGAACAATATTTTTTTAAGAAGGGAACTAAACAGCTTGATTTAAATTACTCAGTGTCTTCTAACCAGGATCATATTTTCTAACCTCTTATTATTAAATATATATATTATTCATATCAAAGAGAATACTTTCTGGATTTGTTACATTTCCAGACCACTGAATTTGTCAAGGATTTCAATATTACTTTAGTATCACTGTATATTTGGTGATATCAAAGTAATCAGAAAGGTCAATCCTATTTGAAATTTTAGAGGACCGTGGCACTGCCAATTGGCGAAATCTCGTGTTGGTGTGATTGTGACTGTGGTTTTTACCTTACTATAGCTTTTAAAAAATGTTTCTGTATGTTCTGATTAACTGTATTTCTCATTTTGGAGGGTTATTATAATAAATTATGGGAAAGAGTTGTTGCACAATACAAATGATGCCTCTACATCAGGGATTCCCAACCTCCGGTCCGTGGACCTGCACTGGGCCACGGCATGCCAGAAACCAGGCCACACAAAGAAGTGAAACCCCATCTGCAGGTAGCACACAAAACCATGACCCCTCTGGTCCACAGAAAAACCTCCCCACGGAACCGGTTCCTGGTGCCCAACAGGTTGGGGGTCACTGCTCAGAAAAAAAACGAATATGTGGGAGAAGCTTCAGTGAGGGGAGAGTGGAATAGAAAGTGCTAGAAAGTGGCAGAAGGAATTCACATCAAACTCAGTATCAAAGGATTCCCACTCCACAGATGGTGAATGTATAGAAATCCATGGAATATGAGAAAAACAGCAGCAAGGCAGATGGATCTATAAATGAAGCAACAAAGGGGAGAAAGTAGTGCCTCTAAAAATGTAGGAAGATTCATTACATTCCTCACAATGCGACGTTTTTTCCCCAGAATTTCCCTAAATTATGTAATTTGACATCTGTGGAGATAATCCATGCAGCACTGATGGTACTTTGGCCAACTTTATCTTCTTTCTTTATATCTGAGGACTCAAAGGGGAACCAGAGAACCCTTTTGCTGTGTGGGGGTGGAGGGGGCCCCTGAGGGAGAAGAGGGGACCAGAAGGAGGCCTAATTCGGAGTCAGGCCGAGAGAAAGGAAGAGTCGAGTCCTGAGGAACCCAAAGAGCCCTGATGGCGGTGCTTCCCTCAGAGCCTTGTGTCTCTCTCTCTCCCCTCTCCCTGCCAACAGAGGCTCCTCCCACGTCTCTTGGAACTCTTTCCTGCCTTTTCCTGCTTCCCACACTCTATGCATTGAATTGGAGACACCTCGATGTGTTTGGGCCTGATGAGCCCCTAAGAGCCTCGAGGGAGAAGAGCAGCCCCGAAGGAGGCCTCATCCAGAATCTGACCAAGAAAAAGGTCGAGGCCATCTCTGAGGAGGTCCAAAGCCCAATGGCAGCTCTTCCTTCAGAGCCGCATCTTTCTCTCACAGCGTTTCCCGCCTTTTCCCACCTCGCCGCCTGAGCAAATCGCACGGGGAGGGGCGTGGCCAGGAGGGAAGCGGGGGAGGGGAGGAGCCTTGCAAGGTCCCGTCTCCCTTGCCCTGCAACCTTCCTCCAACATCTCCGAGGGGGGTCCCAGTCCTCTTCTCCCCCCCCTGGGGCTGTCCCCCAAGCGTGGCCCTGCTCTTTCTGGGTTGGGGGCTACCTGAATCAGGGGCACTTCAATGCATTTGGATGTGATGGGCCAAGATCCTTGAGGGGGCTAGAAAGGGGCTCCTGGGGACGACGCTGTGTGGGGGTGGAGGGGGCCCCTGAGGGAGAGGAGGGGCCCAGAAAGAGGCCTCATCCAGAGTTTGACCGAGAAAAAGAAGCTGAGGCCGTCTCTCAGGAGCCCCGAAGAAGCCCGATGGCGGCGCTTCCCTCAGAGCCGCTTCCTTCTTTCTCTCAACGGCTTTTCCCGCCTCGCCGCCTGAGGGAATCGCACCGGGAGGGGCGTGGCCAGAAGGGAGGCAGGGGGAAGGGAGGAGCCTTGCAAGGTTCCGTCTCCCTTTCCCTGCAGCCTTTCCTCCAACGCCTCTTCTCGAGGTCCTAGCCCCCTTCTTCCACTTCTGGGGGGTTTCTCCTTCTTCCCCTCCCTTCCCTTCCAGGGATCCTTGCCAGCTGACCCACCAGCAGCAACAGGGGGACCCCAGCAGAGCCCATGGAGGCTTCCCGCAAGCCCCCTCCCCAGAGAGGAAGGGGAGAAGTGAAATTGGGAGGGGGGTCTTGACAGGGATGCTTTGGAGTTGGCCTGCCAGGAATACATTGCGCCAATGGGAATCCTCTCTTCCTTTGAGTCATCTGTCTCCGAGCAAAATCTCTCGAGAATTTCTCTCTATTGAAGAAAGCCTTTGGAGCAGAAAATGAGAAAGTGCGGTGTGTGTGTGTGTATTTGTTGTGTACAGCTACAACTGGAGGAGACTTTGGAACTGGGTTGTCCCAAAGAGAACACAGGTGGGCCCTGAGTGAAGCAATCTCTACGGGAGACAACAATTGCTGAGATGTGGAAATCCCATTCTTAGCCGATTCAGAATGTAGCAGTCTCCTCCAGACACAGATCACTTGTTTTTCACAAGACCTTTCCGTGACACCTATCTCCAACCTTCCAGTGCATGATCAACTCTGGCTTTCTAGAGGACTATCTGTATGCCTCTCCTCCTTCAAATGCAACATCTTCTGCTTCATGGGGAGCCCGTTTCCCTGACCTACTGAGAAGTTTGAAGTCTGATAAGTCTAGAGAAAAGTCTAGTCCAGTCTAGAGAAAAGGCCTGGGGGGGGAAGACATGATAGCCAGTATTCCAGTATCTGAGGGACTGCCACAAAGAAGAGGGGGTTGATTTATTTTCCAAAGCACCAGAAGGCTAGACAAGAAACAACGGTGGGAAACTAATCAAAGAGAGAAGCAACCTGGAATTAAAGAGAAAGTTCTTAACAGGGAGGACAATTAACCAGTGGAGCAGCTGGCCTTCAGAAATTATGGGCGCTCCATCACTGCAGATTTTTAAGAAGAGACTGGACAGCCACTTATCTGAAATGCTATAAGATCTGCTTGAGCAGGAGGCTGGAATAGAAAACCTCCAAAGTCCCTTCCAGCTCTGTTCTGATTCTGATAAGAATCAGATGATGAGGATGTTTTGAAAATTTATTTCTGTCTTCTAGGATAGGGTAGTGACTGTCCTTTTCCCCCTCTGCATTTTCCCCATGAACCTTAATTACATAATTACTAAAAATTATATCAATACTGAAGCTCGATTGATCCATGACTTGAGTCTGCAGTCTCATTTCTGGGGGAAACATTGATGTATCTCCTGGGCTGTATGTATGGATAGGTAAAAAATAATCTGGGTCAAATTTGTCAGTCCAGGCAGGCTTTTATGGGATGTTTGGAGGATGGAAACAGGGATCACCTCTCCTGGCTTCTTCATCTGCTCTGGAAGGTGAAGGAGAAAACTAAAAGCATGTGGTCCTGGCAACCCTGATCATAAATTTTATGAAGTTGTAGTCTAAAAAACAGGGAAACATCTGCAGGTGTCAAGCTCAAAATATCAAAAGCAACACAAGGTGTTAAGTTCTGTCAGAAGTTCTCTGTATGTGTGTGAGAGAGAGGGGGGAAGAGAGGGAGGAAGAGGGAAAGGGAGGGAATGAGAGAGAGGGAGAGAGCGCGGGACGGAAAGAGCGAGAGAGGAAGACAGAGAGAGAGAGAGAGTGGGAGAGAGAGCGAGAGAGAGACACAGTGAGAGAGAGAGGGAGAGGGAGGGAAAGAGATAGAATAATTATCAGTGTTTCTCAACCTTGACAATGCTGGCTGTGGAATTCTGGGAGTTGAAGTCCACATGCCTTAAAATTGTCAAGGTTGAGAAACACTGACATAGATAGATAACCTTTATTGTCATTTTTTTACTGTGGGCACAATGGCACACATTAAAAATGAAATTTAGTTGCTTGCTCTCAAAGTGTACACATACATAACACACATTCAAACATCCTCTATACAACATAAATATATAGATCTACACCCTTACATATAAGTAACATATAAATATTAATCCCTGTGCATCTTGAATACATAACGGAAGGAAGAAGCTTGAGAGTTCACAAGGTTAATACTGTAAGGACCAAAACTGTGACTGAATCTGGACGTTCTGCTTCGGATACCACGGAGCCTCCTCCTCCCAGAAGGCAACAAAACAGATCGTGAAGTGGATATGTAGCTTCCCTGACATTCTTGCGGACCCTACTCAAGCAACACTTGTACGACACATCCTGGATGGGAGGGAGAGAACTGCCAAAGAGAAAGGGAGAGGGAGAGAGAATGGGAGGGAGAGGAAGAGAGCGAGGAAGAGGGAGAGCGAGTGGGAGAGAGGCAGAGAGAGAGAGAGAGAGAGGGAGGGGGAGAGAGAGAGAGAGAGAGAGAGAGGGAGGGAGAGAGAGAGAATCGATGAGCTCCCAAAAGGACGGAACCGGCTTCCCCTCCGGGTGACTTTCTGCAAATCGCCATTTGCTCAAGCACAAAGGGAGTCCTGTCATCTCCCCACGGCATTTACCGGAAGCTAAATGGCAGAGCTCGTCCTCTAGGGCAGATCCGGCGCCGATCAGAGGTTGGGCTGGATAGCCTCCAAGAATTCTCCCACGGCTGTGATTTCACCGCAGCTCCCAGCAGTGGGCGCTCTCTGGCCTGCAGACTGAATGTGTGCCACTGCGCACGCTCGACTCCGTCTGCGTGGATCGGGCGAGTTCACCCTGTGAGTTCCTCCCCGGGAATCCGGGGGCGGGAAAGATGGGGTCCCGCGACTCAGATCCTCCCCAGGGGAGGGGAAACAGATTCCGAATCCCGAAGCTTGGAGGGAGCGGGGAATCCACCCCATAACTGCTCCGGGCTGTGCATGCAGGAGATCTAACAGCGGGGGAGAGGAGAAACTGGAGGGGGGGAGGGGGAGCCTAAAGGGACCATCTGCCCACGTCTCTTTCAGGTTCAGCTTTCAAGACGGGAAGGATCATCGGAGAGCCGGCAGAGACCAGCTCCCCGGCGGTGCCGGCGGCTGAGAGGTTCCTGCCGAGCCTGGCAGACGAGAAGAAGCAGGAGTAGACTAGAAGACAGAGTTGGAAGGGACCTTGGAGGTCTTCTAGTCCGACTCCCTGCTCAAGAAGGGCCGCAGGTCAGAGATGCTTCTTTTGAGAGATATGCTTGAATTGTTAAATGTCTCCATTACAGAGTTTTGGAGATTAATAATGCAAGTAGATAATTTAGAGAACCTCATTAGCAAAACTGTTCTTGCGTTCATCCAAAGAGTACATCATTTGGAGCAATTCTCCCATTGGCCTCATCCATCCCCACAAATGGACAGGAGGGTTTGGCCACCATGTGGAAAGAACATAAAATCCAGATCCTCTCATGTCCCGACTTTTTCAGCCCTCTCCTTTGCTTCTATTTCAGGTTCTGAGGTCCTTCCAGGAATGGGGACTAATTGGGTGGATCCCACAAATCTTTCTCGTGATCTGTCTTTCAGAGGGATCCCCAAGGAGAAAGGTCAACGTCAGGAAACCTCACTAGGTAAGGGAAGACCGTTCCGCTGGATTGGAGATTTTCTGGAAAGATTCTAGTTATCCTTAATTCTCTGTGTCTTCTTGTGTCTTCGTCATTGGATTTAGTTGACTAAATAAGAAAGCAATAACTCCCTCTTCAAACTAGAACACTTAACGCACACAAAGCAATTCCCTCCCTTCAGATCCAGCCCATGGTTTGCCTTTTGCAGAAAACCCACTCTTCTAGGGACCACCTTGAGTTGCAGTCTGGCTCCTCCATTATGAAATATTTTTCTTTCTTCTCAATGATGCAGAAGAGAGCAACCTGTTTTTTGGCCTTCCTTAAGACATAATTTCGACTAAATTCCTACACAGATCCCTGCTGGATCATTTCGAATACCACCTGTCCTTGCGGGCATGTCCCTGGGTTGCTAGAATTTCACAAATTGCTCTTTCATGATGGTTTCAAGCTGCAGGAAAGAATTTGCAGTGATTGAGCAAATGCTTTGGTTGCCAAGAGTGTACTTCCATGTTTTAAAAGGATAGAACAATCCAATTGAGGTTTGTTCTTCAATCTGTGCTGGGGTTTGGTCTTCTCCTTTTCTTCTTCACTCCCATGATGGAGCCTATAAAAGGCCACTGATGGCAGAGTGTAGAAGAGACTAATGGAGATTTCCTGAGCAGGACAGGAAGAAATCTTCAGTTGTGTCTTCAAGCTAGAAAAGATGAAGTTGCAGCCTTTCCTGTTTCCATCCTGTCTCTCTCCTTCCCAGTGGACAAAATGGAGTCACCGTTGGTCACTGAGTCGTGCCCTTCTATTGGTGGAGCTGCAAGAGTCACTGGATTCCCAACTCAGGTAGGAAGGAAGAGATCAGCAGCTAATATGAGGGAGCAGTAGGAGACCTCTAGTTTCCTTTGGGGACACAACATACGATACTGCTATTCCTGAGCAGGAAATTGGAAATGTAAATTCATGATCAGTCAAACTAGGCCCACCTGTCAACATTTAAGTTTTGGAAATGTATGGAATTCCTTAGTGGTTATATCATTCTGGTTTCAAAAAATGCCACCTCACAGTTCATGTTGTCTATCCCAAGTAAAGCAGACAGGACACACGAATAGTTAGGCTAAACCTACTTAAATATTATCTTGTTTTCGTATCATTGGGGAAAGCGATAAAAACAGGAGGAGCAGAAACCGCTTTGTGTATCATCTGCATCTTGACAGCCAGAAGTGCCTTCCTTGTATTTTCATGTTCACGAGTGGGAGCAAGGCTGATCCTTCAAAGAACCACAAAGACCTTTTGGTTACTGTGTCAGACAGAAATCCCACAGAATCTCTTGCAAATATCATGAAATGGTGGAGCCATTGGTAGATGGTGTGTCTAAGACACACTTTGCCACTTGATCAAGGCAGGTTGATTGAAAGTCAGCAGAGTCAGTCATGCCCTAATTGGCTGTCTGCCGTAGGGTGTGAATTCTGCCCATTTTAGCATGTAATATGTTGAATCCAGGTAGGGAAATGTCCAATGAGGAATTTTCACTTTATACTGTTTGGATTTGCGGATGAAAGGAGATCTCGGAAATTCTATCGAGTCTGCTCACGGGGATTCTTCTTGGTTCAGGGTCCTGTGTCCTTCGAGGAGGTGGCCGTCCATTTCAGTGGCGAAGAGTGGTCGCTGCTGGATCCCAGCCAGAAAGCCCTGCATCGAGAAGTCATGTTGGAAATGTTTGCGATGGTGGTCTCTTTAGGTAAGGGTTCCTCTGGAGGAAAACTAAGTCAGAGCAAGGTGTCACTAGACACTTTAGTGACAACCTTACTGCGCTCATAGTCCTCTAAGTAGCACAATTTCATTGAGAAGAAAGATCAGTGGGGTGTCCAGTCATTCTGGCAAGGGTTGACATTCGGTCTTGTGGTCATCCTGGGCTCTGTCATCACTGCAGAGCAGAAGATGTTGAGGGAGAGGATGTTTTTGCCTATTGCAGTTGTCCTAATCAGGAACAAATTTTGTCTTGCTTCATGTTGCAATGACATACGTTGTCTTATTGAATGTAAGATAGGTGCATCATATGTGAGGCAATATGTGTGCCATGTCTTGACGTCAAGATCTGTTCTTGCTTTAAATTTTTAACTGCCAAGAATGAGGGTTAGATCAGCAGCCACGCTAGTCTTTTAAGTTAATAATTAATATTCATGCTATCATTTCCCCCGTTTCTTTCTCCGCAGATGCCCAGTAATAGATAAATCTATGCATTGAGACAGCAAATTGTACGTTGTGGATTATTCTAATTCATTTTTCTTCCCCCTCAAGCATTGGATGCGCAGAAGAAGGAAAATCACCAAGAGCCAAATTTAGTGCCATTGCAAATAATCAAAATGGAAATACCAGAAGAGGCACCTACAAATAAACGTGAGAGGAGGAAACATGAAGAGAAGCACACCTGGAGAGAAAAATCAGTTCTTGAATGTGTGGAAATGGATCGCTTCATGTCTCAAGGTGACTCCAAAGAAAATATGGGGAAATATCAAAGTAGAAAAAGATTCAAAGCAAACCCCAATTTTAGTAACCAGTGCAAAACTGGAAAGAGCTTCAGCAGTAATAAACTTACTCCCCATATAATGACCCAGGCAAGGGAGAAGCCCTACAGAGGTGTGGACTGGGGAAAAAGCGTTGGGTGGAGAGGTAATCTAACTTCCCATAAAAGAATACAGTCAGGAGGAAAGCCCTATAAGTGCATGGTCTGTGGGGAAAGATTCAGTTCAAATACTTCCTTTACTTTCCATAAAAGGATCCACACCAGAGAAAACCTCTATGAGTGCCTAGAGTGTGCAAAGACCTTCAGGAACAGTGAGTGTCTCAAATTCCACAACATGATGCATACAGGCAGAAAACCTTATAAATGTGTGGACCGTGGTAAAAGGTTCAGTGTGAAGAGTTCCTTTACTTCCCATAGAAGGATTCATACTGGAGAAAAACCCTTTAAATGCATGGAGTGTGGGAAGAGCTTCAGCACTAGTAGTTACCTGATATGCCATAGAAGGATCCATTCAGGGGAAAAACCCTATAAATGTGTAGACTGTGGAAAAACCTTCAGGACGAACGCTGCTTTTACTAAGCATAAATTGATCCATACGGGAGAGAAACCCTTTAAATGCATGGAGTGTGGGAAGAGCTTTAGGCAAAGTGGTGTCCTTGCTTCCCATAAAAGGATCCATACGGGAGAGAAACCGTATAAATGCATGGAGTGTGGAAAGAGCTTCCGTGTAAAGTGTTCTCTTACTTCTCATAAATGGATCCACACAGGAGAAAAACCCTTTAAATGCCTACAGTGTGGGAAGAGCTTCAGCACTAGTAGTTACCTGATATGCCATAGAAGGATCCATTCAGGGGAAAACCCGTATAAATGTGTAGACTGTGGAAAAAGCTTCAGGACGAGCACTGCTTTTACTACGCATAAATTGATCCATGCGGGAGAGAAACCCTTTAAATGCATGGAGTGTGGGAAGAGCTTTAGGCAAAGTGGTGACCTGGCTTCCCATAAAAGGATCCATACGGGAGAGAAACCCCATAAATGCATAGAGTGCGGGAAGAGCTTTAGGCAAAGTGGTGCCCTTGCTTCCCATAAAAGGATCCATACGGGAGAGAAACCCCATAAATGCATAGAGTGCGGGAAGAGCTTTAGGCAAAGGGGTGACCTTGCTTCCCATAAAAGGATCCATACGGGAGAGAAACCCCATAAATGCATAGAGTGCGGGAAGAGCTTTAGGCAAAGTGGTGGCCTTGCTTCCCATAAAAGGATCCATACGGGAGAGAAACCCCATAAATGCATAGAGTGCGGGAAGAGCTTTAGGCAACGTGGTGACCTTGCTTCCCATAAAAGGATACATACGGGAGAGAAACCCTATAAGTGTATTGAATGTGGAGAGTGCTACAGAAATAGTGATCAACTGACCTCCCACAAAAGGATCCATTCAGGTGAAAAACTTTATAAATGCACGGAGTGTGGAAAACCTTTCAGGACATGCAGTTCCCTCGCTTACCATAAATGGACACATACTGGAGAAAAACCGTATAAATGCCTGGAGTGTGGAAAGAGCTTCAGTGGAAAGAGTTCTCTTACTTCTCATAAACGGTTACACACAGGAGAAAACCCCTATAAATGCATGGAGTGTGAAAAGAGCTTCAAAACCAGCAGTCACCTGACCTACCATAAAAGGATCCATACGGGAGAGAAACCCCATAAATGCATAGAGTGCGGGAAGAGCTTTAGGCAAAGTGGTGGCCTTGCTTCCCATAAAAGGATCCATAAGGGAGAGAAACCCTATAAGTGTATTGAATGTGGAGAGTGCTACAGAAATAGTGATCAACTGACCTCCCACAAAACGATCCATTCAGGTGAAAAACTTTATAAATGCACGGAGTGTGGAAAATCTTTCAGTACATGCAGTTCCCTCGCTCACCATAAATGGACACATACTGGAGAAAAACCGTATAAATGCCTGGAGTGTGGGAAGAGCTTCAGTGTAAAGAGTTCTCTTACTTCTCATAAACGGTTACACACAGGAGAAAACCCCTATAAATGCATGGAGTGTAAAAAGAGCTTCAAAACCAGCAGTCACCTGACCTACCATAAAAGAATCCATACGGGAGAGAAACCTTATACATGCCTGGAATGTGGAAAGAGCTTCCCTATAAAGACTTCTCTGACTTCTCATGAAAGGATCCACACAGGAGAGAAACCCTATAAATGTCTAGAGTGTGGAAAGAAGTTCAATGTAAAGAGTTCTCTTACCTCTCATGAAAGGATCCACACAGGAGAGAAACCCTATAAATGTCTACAGTGTGGGAAGAGCTTCACCCAAAGCAGTCAACTTACTTTCCATCACAGGATCCATACTGGGGAAAAACCTTATAAATGCACAGACTGTGGAAAGACCTTTGCTGGCAGTGGCTATCTGACTTACCATAAAAGAACCCACACCGGGCAGAAACCCTATAAATGCTTGGAATGTGGAAAAAGCTTCTGTGATAACCGCACCCTTACTTCCCATAACAGGATCCACATGGGAGAGAAATTGTATGTATGCAATGAATGTGGGAAGAGTTTGAGTTCAAGCAGGTCCCTTACGTACCACATTAGTTCCCACACACGGAAGAAATTGCATCAGTGCACAGAATGTGGGAAGAGCTTCAGATTAAAAAGACACCTTACTTCCCATAAGAGCATCCACACAGGGGAGAAATAGAAATGTTTGCAATGCGGAAAGAGTTTTGGTGAAAACAGGATGTTTCTCAAGAAAGAATCCACAGAGGGCAGAAAAATATCCTGTGTAAAGCAATCAAATTATTATTTTCATATCAGGGATACATACAGGATGAGAGAGCAGGGCAGGGGTAGGCAACCTTGCTCTTTTATGACTCGAAGACTTCAACTCCCAGAATTCCTGAGCCAGCCACGCTGAGGGGAAAGGGATTCTGGGAGTTGAAGTCCACAAGTCATAAAAGAGCCAAGGTTGCCTATCCCTGCTTTAGGGCAAAACATTAATCTGTGGGCGGTTTCCCAGTATTGGTCATGGCCTATTGGCCGCTGGTCTACCTGAGTGGCTGGCCATTGTGTGTGAGTGCACGCACAGCCCCACTCACGCGAGCATTGTGAAAGTCGGCGTTTGTGGTCACGCTCACACAAGCCTTGTCACGAGCTTCGCAGGTATTTGCCGCACCAGTTACACAAGTGTCACCACAAGCATCGCAGGCATTTGGTACCCCACTTTCATGAATGTCATCTCGGGCACTCACAACCGCACTCAGAAAAGCAGTGTTCATCCCCCCCCCCACAAAACCATCCCTTTCCCCCCTTCCCCTGCTCCCGAAACTCTGCTTTAGGGACTGAAGTGTCCTTAATTTGCATAAAAGGATCCACTGTGACGTGAAACCATTTAAAAATATGGAGTGTAAAAAGAATAACATTTGTGTAAAAGTGTGGAGAACAGTCTTCCTTTTTTCAGAGGATTGCCATAGGAGCAGTGAATAAATGTATTTGGATTTTGGAAAGCTGCCTGGATAGAGTTATTAATTCCAGAGGTATTACCCATTTGATTAATTTTCTCAAGAAAACCTGTAAAACAATTGCTCCTCTTATTACTCCAAAATCTCTGCTTGGTCAAGCTGCTTTATTTAGGCAGAAGCAACATCTGAAGTGAGTCTGAGATCAGCCTCCAGGCTTTGTGAAGCTCTAGTGTATGCAAGCCAAAGAAGGGAAAGTGTGTCTCTGTGTGTTCATTTTTGTTCCAATTGGGTTAAAAATACTGGCTTTCTTTAAACATAGTTGTCAGCTTTGCAAATGAGCCTGGCTGCAGCCATTTCCCCCCTCATTTGAAGTTGCCACATGGAATGGAGGAAGGGGGGGCTTGTCCAGATGTTTTGCTAGTCAAAACAATCAGATGTCCCATGGGAATCAAGGTCATCTATTGCTCCCGCAATTGGGGATTGGGCATACTATAAGAAAGCCCGCCAAACTATTCTATTGGGAAATGTAGTTGATTGCATAGTACTGGGGTGGGAACTTTAACTTTGTAATAATGTAACTTTTTGGAGGGAACTTTAGTCTTCGTTTCACTTTTGACCATGCAGATACTCTGTAACAATAAACATATTTTTTGAGGAAATTGCAGGACTCGGAGTTCTGCTTTATTACTCTTTGTCTGTTCGAACCATGACAGTAGCAAGGTATTAAGCTTTTTTCTTCATATACTGTATGGGTACAAGTTTGGTTTACAAGTGAAAATGTCTCTCAAATGTTTATATGTACAGTCCAGTCTGGTGCAAAATTGCATTAACCCAGCTGAAAGTGACTTTATAAATGGCTTCATTGATCCAACAATGTACTATATGAGCAATGTTTTTTAAAGACTTAAATTGCTTGATTTAAATTATTCATTGTTTAGGTTCTCAGATTAATCTGTACTGTATTTTCTATTTCTCAAGGTTTTTACATGTCACTTTAGTGCCTCCATTTCATTTTGTGGTGCCAAGTTGATCAGAAAGGTCAAACGTACTTGACGCAGTAGGGGACCGTAGCATTGCTATGGTTTTGGAGAAAACAGTTACTAGCATGAATGTGACTTTGTGCTTTTTATTTTAATACTTTTCTCATGCCTGGAATGTGCAAAGAGCTTCAGTGAGAACCGTGCACTTACTTCCCATAATAGGACCCACATGGGAAATTGTATGTATGCAATGAATGTGGGAAGAGTCCGAGAATAGAGTTCTGACTTCCAGAGGTATTATCTAGTGAAAGGTAAGGTCCCGCTCAAGAAAATCTGTTAAACAATTGACCCTCTCATTACTCCAAAACTTCTGCTTGGTCAAGCTGCTTTATTTAGGTAGAAGCAACATCTAAAGTGAGTCTGGGATCAGCCTCCAGGCTTTGTGAAGAGCTGGTGTATGCAAGCAAAGCAACGGGAAGTGTATGTGTGTATATTCATTTTAGCTCTAATTGTGTTGAAAATACTGGCCATTAATCATGTAGCAAGGAATTTTAAGGTTTTTTTTCTTCATATATTGTATATGTACAAGTTTGGCTTACAAGTAAAAATGTCTCCCAAATGTTTATATGTACAGTTCAGTCTGGTGCAAAAGTGCATTAACCCGTCTAAAAGGGACTTTATAAATGGTTTTATTTATCCAACAGTGTACCATATGAGCAATGTTTTTTTTTTAAAAAAAGGATTTAAATTGCTTGATTTAAATCATTAATTGTTCAGTTTCTCAGATTAAAGTAATCGTACCATATTTTCTATTTCTCATGATATTCAAATGTCACTTTAGTGCCTCTTTCATTTTGTGATGCCAAATTGATCAGAAATGTCAATCATACTTGACACATTATGGGACTGTAGCATTTCTATGGTTTTGGAGAATACTGTTACTAGCAGGAATGTGACTTTGCGCTTTTTAACTTAATATAGCTTTTAAAAAACGTATTTCCTGATTATTAACAACCTTTCTAATTTTGAAAGGTTAATAAATTATTGGAAACAGTTGTGGCACAATGTAAATGATGCCCTACTCAATACACGTTGAACAAAGGCCACACTTGGAACACTGCATCCAGTTTTGGTCACCATGATGTAAAAAACATGTTGAGATTCTAGAAAGAGTACAGAGTAGAGCAACAAAGATGATTAGGGGACTGGAGGCTAACACGTATAAGGAATAGTTGCTGGAATTGGGTATGTCTAATTTAATGAACAGAAGGACGAGGGGGGACGTGATAACAGTGTTCCAATATCTCAGGGGCTGCCACAAAGAAGAGGGAGTAAAGCTATTTTCCAAAACGTCTGAAGGCAGGACAATAAGCAAGAGATGGAATCTAATCAAGGAGAGAAGCAGCCTAGAACTAAGGAGAAACTTCCTGACAGTTAGAACAATTAACCAGTGGAACAACCCGACTCCAGAAGCGGTGAATGTTCCAACACTGGAAGTTTTGAAGAAAAGGCTGGACAGCCATTTGTCCGAAATTGTATAGGATTTCCTGCCTGAGCAGGGGGTTGGACTAGATGACCTCCAAGGTCCCTTCCAACTTTATCATCATCATCATTATTATGATGTAGAGGAACTTGGGGGATGGTGTGTGTGTAATAAAAAGTTAGAAAGTGGTAGGAGGTGGAATGAGTTTAGATCTGACTCAGTTTCACGTTGCACAATGATGCATAGACAACCATGGAATGAGAAAAGCATTAACAAGGTAGATTTATCTATGAAAAGAAGCAAGCAACGAGAGAAATTGTAGCCTATAAAATGTGGGAACATTCCTCATTCTAAAATCTTGGCCTTTTTTTTTAGAATTTTCCTAATTATGTAATTTTACATCTGTGGAGATAATCCATGCAGCATTGATAGTGCTTCAGCCAAGTATATCTTCTTCCCTTATGTCAGAGGACCTAAAGGGGAATCAGACAATTGAAACCCTTTTGCAGCTTTCTAGTCTGAATGTACATTTGGCCTTTGAGTGGCAGACAAAGATTTGTGGTTCAAGGAGTGGGGTGTGTATGTCTGGGTATTAAGTGGGAAGACATTTATCTTCCCATTCTATACAATTAAATAATATATTAATTGTATACATTAATTCAAAGTATTCTCCAGCCAGCAATTCCACCTTCCCTTTGAAAAGAAAGTCCTGTAAGAGATACCATTATTATTTTGAAGGGTTTTTGGGGGCGAATGGAAGCCAAGGCCTTGAAGGGGATCATGTCCTGGGATCTGGGGATCCTCCCAGTCTTCTCGCCTCAGCCTTGGGGTCACCCTGAGGGATTCACCTGAGGCAGGGCGATTCCCATCAGAGAAAGTGCTTAATTGAGGGGGGGCAATTGTGGTACTTCTTTTGGGTTGTTGTTTTTTTAATCCCGCCTGCGTAAATCAGGGACACTTTAAAGTGTTTGGATGTGATGGCACACACCCCCCGCCGAGATTTGAGGGGGCTAGAGGGGGCCCATGAGAGAGAAGAGAGGGAGGCCTAATTAGACTGAAAGGAGTCAGGTCCATCCTTGGGAGCCCCAGACCCTCAATGGTGGTGCTTCCCTAAGGGGACCACTTTCCCCTCCCCCCCAGCCAGCAAAGAGGTTCCTCCCACCCGTCCAAGGACTGCCTTTTCCTGCTTGCCTGGGAGCGGTGTGGTCAGAAGGGGAGGGGTCCTGCAACATCCTGCACCGCCCTCAGCGTTTTCCCCAACGTCTCTCCGGAGGGGTCACAATCCTTTTTTCCCCCCCCGACCTCAGCATCAATGGGGCTTACCCCCAAACGTGGCCCTGCTCCTTTATGAGTTGGGGGGCTGCCTGAATCGGATACATTTCAATGCCTTTGAACATAATGGGCCCAAGAGTCACGAGGAGGCTGGAAAAAGATTCTGGACGGACCCTTGAGGCAGAGGAGGGGCCCAGAAGGAGGCCTAATCCAGAGTCCGACCAAGAAAGAGAACTCGAGGCCGTCTCTGAGGCGCCCCGAAGAAGCCCGATGGCGGCGCTTCCCTCATAGCCGCGTCTCTCTTTCTCTCAACGGTCTTTCCCGCCTGAGGGAATCGCATTGGGAGGGGCGTGCCCAGAAGGGGGAGGGGTTTTTTTG